TGTGAAATGTTTGAAGTCGACAACAGCTAAAAGCTCTACTCCTTGAGGTTTTCTCAGAATGCAGTTCAAATATTTTTGAACACATTAGGCACATCATTTGCAGTTTCCCTGCTTGAAAACCGGAGGAATAGTGGATGAAGCCAAGAAAGTTAAATGTAGACGACCCTGTCTTGAAGGATTACTTACTGAACTGACAAGAGGTGGGCTACAGATTCCAAATACCCTTTTCAAATCCTCCTAACTGAAACATGGCCGTCTGATGAAGGGACAGAGTATGTGGGATTTCTGAAGTGAATAAGGATGAGAGAGATCATGAAGACATTATTATTGATGATGCTAAAAAAGAACAAAACTGGAAGAGGTATGTTGAGAAGAAAAGTGTTATTTCAATGTCTCTTAGTATGCATTAATCATTCTTCGATTTTGTGAAAGACTCCATATTGAGCTCATGTATTTAGGCAATCTTATTTTTAGAATCTATGTTAAATAATAAGGGATGCTTAGATTTTACACAGGAGATCAATTGTAAGTCCTGAACTAGTAACTGCAAATTAATAAAAATTCTAAAAATTTGCAATTTTCTTATCAAAATTCTACTCATATCATGAAGATCACAAGTTTGTTTAAAACATTACTAGTAACAGAAAGATTTTGTGTAAGTACAAGTTTGTTGTTGGATGATAAATCCAACCTCGGTTTTTGTTACCAGATTATGTTTTTTTAAGTTGATGCGTATTATGGTTTTTTTTTTTTTGGATTTGGGGGTGAGTGAGTGATATGAAGGTCATGTAGTTGGTATGGGGCAGAGGTGGTATTGGAATTACCTCATTGTTGCTGTCTCATACTATTTAATTTCAAAATGCAGTATTTGTTCCTGAACATTGAACATGTCGTTTGATTGCAGGGGCTTTCTTTACAACAACCTGAGAATGAACAGCTAAATAAGTATGGCCAGGACATTTTGGCAATGAAGGAGGAGGCAGAATCATCTAGGTGAGAAAAGTTAAATTAATTTGAAGATCAAATGTGATTAATCAAATGATAAGCTTAAGCTGAAGTTATATTATAAGATAATATAAAAGCTTAGATTGGTTGAAATAGTAAAGTTGTCTTATATTTAATATGATTAAGAATAATGTATCTTTTGTTTAATTGTCAAAGAAAGACCCCATATGTTCCCTGTTTTAAGTAAAAAAGTCAGCTTCACTTGAGAAAATTAACACTCTTCAGTCACCACTATGTCAGTTTATTGGACATTATGAATTAACCAGTTAGTTTGATAGGAAATGTTATGCATACAAAGTGTAAAAATTATTTTTATAATCTTTTTTCGGTTTGTTGTGGTGACATTACTCTGTAGCCTTTGGTCTTCTCACCGTTACCATCAAGTAGATTGTAGAGACCTAACCAAGGGCATTGATGGTGTTAAGAGTTAAAAGACTTGAGATACACCGCACCGCATTGACTTTTTCTAAGAAAAAATCTATTTAGGTATTTTATATGCACCAAATCTTTGAAAAAGATATAACATTTTCGTTCTTCATGAGGATTTAAAAGCCTAAAATCATGGCTGTAGTATGTTTTGCCCATAGATATCATTCATCCATACTCACATTTTTATTTTTAGCATAGATTATACGAGGCCTTAATAGTTTATACTTTATATTGAAACATAAAGAAGAATTGAAATAAATCATAAATTTAGAAAGATTAATGTATGATATATCAATCTCAATTCGCATTTGTTGTATGTACAATAATATCTTATCTTTGGGGAGCACATGGAAATTGGAAACAGAATCAAACCAATATTCAACCAATATTCAACTTTCATGGATAATTTAATTTGATCAATTAACCATTTTATTAATTATTTACGGCTTATTTCTTATGTTAACGACATATAATAAAAGGAATATTGATTAACTATTTAACTAAACAAAAAGACATAAAGCTTGCTTTTAAGCTTTTGTCAATTGTCACCAAGTGTAACCACAATTTTATTATTCCGCCAGCCCAAAATTTAAAAACGCATATTGTTGTGTTTTCTAAAAGAGATGCTTTACTTTTTTAGAAAATAACAATAAAAAATTGGTATATTAATATTACAATTACAAAACTATCTGGCGTTGGAATCTCACGCCTACAATTTCTAATTTAAAAGAAAATAACATCAATTTACACGTGTCTTTAAGGAAATATTATGACATAAAGTGTTCATCCACTTCATGTCCTATAATCTAAGATTATTGAAGAATGAAGATGATTAAATTATAATACAAAACATTTTGTTCAATTTTGATAACATAATTGCATAAGAATAATACTACATATACATCATTCTTATACAATATTTTTCATATAACATTATGTGGTAAGATATGATTGGGTGAAAGTTTAATTTTAACTTTAAAGTAGCCAATTATATCTTGTCATATAATGTTGTATGAAAAATACTGTATGAGAATTATACATGTGTAGTATTACTTATTGCATAATTGCCCTGTAACAAACTCTGCTTTTTTTCTTCCAACAATCTGACCTGGCGCAGGCCACTCAAATCAATAATAACTGAAACTTACTCCGCTTTATCCGCCAAGATGAAAACTTCTCTTCTCTAAATCACCAAATTACCCCCTATCCCAAACACCCAACTACAGTTCAGGAAACTAGCAGCCTGCATTATAGACTCTTGTCACCCCATTTCTTAAAGCAGATTGTAACGCTTAGCCTAACCAAATTCAATCAAATAAATATAAAGAATAAAATCACAGTTACTGAAGAAATATGTTGACATTTGATTTTGGACTTCAACAGCTTGCACATACGAAGTGTTAAGAGAGTCTTAGAAATTATACGTGATAGATCTATGTGATTTGAATATGGTGCTAAGGATATATATGTTGCAGGAACATAAATAAAAGATTGACAATAAGGTGTTTTTATAGTGATTCAGATGCTTAAAAGTAAATCCTATATCCACTGTTATTTTATTGTTCACTGACTATTTTATTTTATTTTATACTATATATTTAATATTGGGCGGGGCTTGGGCTTTGTCTATCATACCTGTAACGGGCTTGGGCCGGGCTTGGGCCTGTGTCATGAGGTCAGGCTTACCCCTTGGCCCAGGCCCATTTCCATCACTAATATCAATAGCCCCTAAAACGAGAGCAAGTAAAATGACGACAATATCCGTATCTTCCAGTCTTAAGGGTCTAGAAAGGTCTTTTATTTGTCCTGGGTTGGTGGGGGCCATTAGCACCTCCAGTTTTTTTTTTAATTAAAATGACAAATCTTATATTTACACACTACATAATTGATTTTCAAGTTTCAGTGGATAATTCTTCGTAAGTTTACTTCGGGTTGGTTTGAACATGCAATCACTTTTTGTTGTTTAAAGCCTCAGGGTGTTTTCACACACGAAGGTACGAGACTAATCCCCAATCAAGGTTCTTTTGCTTTTTTCATGAAAGCCTTGAGGTGTCCTATACTTGAAAGTATAAGACTAATCCTCAATCATGTTCTTTTTCTTTTTCTTTAGACATACTTATATTGCAATAGAAAAGCCAAAAATCAAGTACACCTCCCACCTCTAGAGATGGCAATGGGTCGGGTTGGGACCAAGTGCCCCTTGGCCTAAGCCTAAGCCTAACCCCATGAAAAAGGCCTAGTCTCAGCCCAACCTCGTCACTCGAATGACAGGTAAAGCCCAAGTCGAATATGCAATAGTCGAGAGGATTTGCATGATCGCGACAAAGTGAATAGATGGGCAGCATGTAAGATGCCATAGTTAAGACATGCATGAAAATTTTCTGAGAAGTTGTAGTGGTATTGTGCACCAAAGATGGAAGGGAAGCTAGGATTTATGGACGGCCGTCCAAATTTTTTCTTTAGTTTTGTAAAACCAAAATAATGGAAGGGCATCCATTCCTTACGGATGCGTGTCCAAAAGTAAGGACGGCCGTCCACAATTTGTGGACGGGTGTCCCCAAAGTTATTTTATTTTATTTTTTTTAAATTTTCACATTTTGGTTAAGGATGGGCGTCCCTTATTTGCGGGCGCTCGTTCAAAATGCATGGACGGCCGTCCATAACAGATGAACGGCCGTTCTTAAATGTTTTTTAATTTTTTAAAAAAAATTGTTAATGGACGGGCGTCCATTAAAATATGAACGCCTGTCTAATATTTAGGGACAGTCGTCCATAACCTATGAACAGCCGTCCCTAATTTTTATAAAAAAAAAATTATTCAATTTTACTTATGGACAAACGTCCTTTAAATGGGGACACCTGTCTGTAGTAAATGGACCTCCGTCCATATAATATGGACGAAAGTCCATGTAAGTAAACGGTCGTCCATATTTGATGGATGACCGTTCACTAGAAAAATATTTAATAACGCGTCTGGATTGCTGGTGTGAGTTAGGGGACACGTAGGCCGGTACATATTTTTGGTGCAAAATGCCGGTGTCCATAGCTTTGTTGATTAAAATATAGAAGGAAATTAAACAATTTGATTAGGCGGCGGAAAAACAACTTATCATGCTATTAAACACTTTTTAATATATATATTTGGCATAATGTAAGGAATTCATGAAGTAGAGTAGTAATCAAATTTTAATCTAATATCTCTTATAATTAACTTTGTTAAATAAAAAAAAAAAAAAAAAATTTGAAAACAATCTATTGATAATACTTACAATTCTTGCTTTTGTTAATTTCAATAATATTTATTCATTGCAAATGCAATTATAATCCTAACAAAACCGAATGAAATCAATATTTTAAGAGAGTTTCATAGATATTATATATATATATATATATATAGGCAAAGAAAAAATTGCGCATTCTGAACTTTCTAATTTCCATAATTTCCTTTGGCATTAGTATAATCACATTATTTGGTTGCATTCACTAGTAGACAGGTATAATACGAAAAGTGGAGATTTAATTTATTAATAGTTGATGAACAATTGAGAAATTTATAAAGTTACAGATCAAACACTAACATTTCCAAGCCAAAATAACAATGGTAATTGCGCAAAGGCAACTAAAAGCAAGAGATAGTGTCGCTTGCTGGGATGCTTCTCAGGAATTCTAACCGCTGCAATCAAAATTTTCTTCAGAATTTTCACCAAAAACATCCCCATACAGACACCCTCCCATAATGCAACCACATAGAAGCAATAGCCGCCAACTATTCTGGCCATCAACACAACCGATACAGCAACAAAAATGTATCCTCCATATGCAGCAACATCAAGTAAGGGTATGTCTCCGTCGCCTAAATTGTGCAGTGTAGCCTCGAGAAGGAGGACTTGGAACAGCCAGCAAATCAGTCCGTTCGAAAATTGCACTCCTAAAGCTTCAGGACTGAACCTGAAAAAAAACAAAAACAAAAAAAAAAAAATGGTGCATTTTTTCAGTTACTTCGAGTCATCACCAAACCTCTGAGAGGTTTTAATACACGAAATCTTCGAACTTACTTTCCATTTATGCCGAGAAAGAAGCCAGCAAGAACGAGATAACTACCAAATGCCATCAATGGGATGTACAAATCAGGTGCATTTATATCATAAATTGGAAGCTTATAACATAATTGACCCTCAACATTATCCGTTACCCTCATCCAATGTCCCTGCAGAAATGTGAAAGCAACGTAATTTGGCTTCATAAAACTGGAAACAAGATTCATACAAAACATCAATTTAATTTTGTTTTATAATTAGTAATTACATATACACCTTGTGCAGAAATGGAAGAAGAATCACTTTCAATTTATTTATAACATATTGATCATTGACCTGAAAATAATATCGGGTGTTGGAGAGTAATCTTCCAAGCTGCAATGCAACAAAATTTTCAAAGCCATTAGCATTAATTAAACATTCTAATTAGCAATAAATATTTATCTTACATTGCTATGAACATAAGATGAGCTTGATCCCGGAGGCTTCTCACTGTAATCACTAAATTCAGTTTTGATTAGATCCGATCCAGCTCCATAAATTGCATCACCAAAAGGATTGTTATGTTTATTTGATTTTGGCACTAAAATTTGTGCATGGTAATTTCTTGATTTCTCATGCATTTTTTGAGGGAAAAAAAAGAAATCACTTGAAAACTTGACCAATTTATTCAAAATCAAAGCCAATTTCTTTTAAATATCTGTTAATATATTAAGAAAGCTGCGAGTAACGAGGTCCAGATATTATATTCATCACGCTCTTTAAGAAAATGTTATGGTTGTGTCATAATCTCTGCCAAGAATTGCAGAGTTCAGGATCCCATAAATTCCCATTTCCCAATAATAATTACACATTAATACTCAAATACTCTTGATATGCTAGCTTCCTTAACTTATTTCTTAAAACCTAAAATTAAAGTGATTAGGTTAAAATCTTGAATAAAGTCCTGCCTATCGTTTTGTTGTAATTAATTTCTAAGGCTCCGTTTGGTTCAAGATTGGGAATACTACTCTTGATATTTCTAAAACAGTTAAACAGTAAAATACCTAAAATCTCTCATTTTTAGGAATACTATTTTCAATATTATTTAATTTTTTTTAAACTTTCTAAATTTGTTAATTTAATTAAATACCCGTAAATATTTTTTTTTAAATTACAAAAACACCCCAACAATCCACATTTATTAGATTCCGGCCACCACTACCGAAAAATGGCCGGAATCTGGTAGGATGGCGCACTACCGGCTGAATCTGGCCGGTAGTATGCTGATCTAGCCTTTTCCGGCCAGATCCACCGTGGATCTGGCCGAAAAAGGCCAGATCTAAGGCCAAAGATCTGGCCGTTGACGACCGGATCTTTGGCCGTAACACTCGATCACGACGGCCAACAAACAGTCGTCGTTGACCATCAACGACAACCGTTTGTTGGCCGTTGTTGAGAGCAAATACGACCAGATCTGGCCGTTGACAGTCAGATCCACCGTGGATCTGGTCGGAAAAGGCCATAGCGACGCATGACCAGCAAGATCCAACCGGTCATGCGCTCATAAGGCGACTCCAGCCACCTCCGGTGGTGGTCGCCGGCTGGAGGTGTTTGAGGGTGGGTTAGGGGTATTTTTGTTAACTTTTAATGTTTTATTAGAGGGGGTATTTTGTAAAAAAATAAACATAAAGGATATTTTATTAATTTATAAATTCTATATCGTAATACCCGTCCAATTCAACTTTTTTTTAACTTTTTTCAAAAAACTTTTCCCAAAACCCCCAAATTTTGAACCAAACGAAGCCTAAATGTTTTTACCTCTGGTTGGATACATCTGTTTTCTTCTGAAAATTACTACATCAACATAAAGTTATAAAATGTACAAGTGCACACTTTATAACTTTATGTTGATGTACGAATACAAATTCTAAATTACAATTTTTTTTTTTTTTTTTTTACAAATTTGACACTATGATTTACCAGTAATCTCTTTTTAACTATTTAATTTTGTTTTTATTTAAAGTCACTTAATCACCTAAAACACATAACTTTGTATGAGGAGTTTGTATATAAAATATTATCCTTGGTAAGGAATAGTTTGTATATGTAGCATTATTTTTAGAATAAATTCTTGCAATCTCACAACCTTCTCTCATAACCCCTGTCGTAGTAGCTCGTAATTGGTCAGCTCGCAAATAAGTAAACATAACCCATGGCAAGCAGGCAAACCCATTTGCAATCTGACCATTACAAAATATCATGTCAAGAATTGTAAGAGAAAGTTGTGAGATTGAGTTATCGATCTAGCATTATTATTTGCTTAATGTGTAATTAATATCTTAATTTTTTTACCTCTGTTGGATACTCTGTTTTTCTTCTTTTGATTGTACTGAATTTTGTTTCTTATGTCTTAACAAGATTTACCTCTAAAAGTTAATAAAACTGCAAAGAAAGAAGTCAACTGAAAAAAAAAAAAAAATTGATAGTAATTTGCACAATTTGACTACGTGTTTAAATTCCTTTAAGTAATATTAATTAACTTAATTGTACAGATATGAAGGGCAGATCACATAGAACTTTCTCTGTATGACATTTAAACCCTTTTATTAGCTTACAAAGTTACTATTAGAGAGCGGAAAGATGTATTTGACGTATAACTTCGTCTTTTTCTTCTTCGTCATGCTTCTCAACATCTGCTCCCAAGAAGCTTGGATTTTGCTTCATTTTCTCAGCTAGAGCAGCTTCTTATATTTTCCCACTATAAAATTGGTAAAAAAAGAAGAAAAAATAATGTTAAGTAAATAAAATAATAGAAAAAAAAAATCAATGAAGCATTTTCATTGTAAATAAGATTTGAATTAAAAAAAAAAAAAACTATTTAAATACTAATTTTATGCAATTTGTAGAAAAAATAAAAAATATTTTATCTAAATTCTATTTTCCAAATTGATTATCTCATATGTTATTCTAATTAATATCACAATTCAAATTTCTCATGGCTAGTTTGTCCTATCACAAATTATAGAATCATTTTTAAAACCTTAAAGATAAAAAAAAACCCCTAACCAAGTCGGACAAAAATTATTTGGGCATGAAACATCATCATCATATTACTTTTCTCTTTCATCTAAGTAACCCTAGCTATAGTTTTTGAAGAAATTGCATATATGTTTGATTTATATTATAACTATATCAATGACATTATATGTCTATATCATAGTTAAAATTTTCTCATTTATTATCTATATGATATGAGATCGATTGAATTAATGAGAATTACTAAGAAAAAAAAAAAAAATTTATTACCAGAATACTTCGTCCAACAACGTTAAATGCAATAAGAAAGACAGTCAATGTCTTTGTTTATGCTTTCACATTCTTCTTGACATTGAACTATATCATCAATTATGGAACCCGAAGCCTTATGGACGTCACTGCTCACAACCAAAACTACGATAATAATGCACCAAACTACTACTACATAGGGAGTTTTCTTGTAAGCCATTTTAAATCCAATTTTTTTTTTCTTTTAATAATCTCTCTGATCAGTCTCGGTTTATGTATTATGTGATTGCATTATATTCGATCATTTAAAAACATTCAATTATGCTATATCGGTCACAAAGTTGTTCGAGTTTATCAAGAAGTTAGGTAAGTTTAGGTATTGCACCAAGTTCAACATTATTTAACTAAATATAGCATTTCATTGTGGTGATAATTAGTTAATTTGGTAAACTCTTAACAAAGGATCTATATAAAATAAAGTCTCCCCGTTGGGATGATAGTGAAAACAAGGTTTAAATGGGCAACGTTGAGTTTGAAATTGAAACAGATCTTTAGAGCCTCAGAAGTGGGCCTAAACTGACATACTCAATTACTCAGTGAGTAGATTTTTTGAGCCCTAATTATTACAACAAAAAATCAATTGAGTCCCAAGGTTTAGAATAAAAGACTTCTTATAAAATAGAGCTCATTACAATTACCCATAAGGTATCTAAAATAACATTTTATCCACTATTATTTGTGTTTCATTTGAGTTTTTGTTATCTGACTAGCAAATAATACCTTTGATCAGTTAAATTAAACACCAAAACTTTAACGAAGAGTTGAATGTTAGGTGTGTGGATTATTATTTCTCAAATAAATGATCAGGGAAAAGTTATTTTACAAAAAACCCAAAGGCAGAATTACAATAAACTCTTTATTTTTTATTTTATTTTTTTCAGATTTTAAGAGTGATGTTATTGAGCCCAACCTAAACTCTTTCTAAGTGTATTTTGATTAAAAAAAAATTAAATATATTTTTTATTTATTCTAAAATTACCGTTTTATATTTGACCTAACATGTTTTCTCCCTAAATTTGAGAGATATAAAAAAGCAAACCACAATATTTGGAAAAATATCAATAAATTAAGAATGATGCTATTTTTCCTTCTACAATTTATCTTGTATAACCCCACTTTTAAAAACCTCCACTAGTACTTTTAAATTTATTAAAATATCTAAATAAACACAATGTATATCCAAATAATCCTTTTTAATTATTATTTTAATTACTGTGTCATACTTTATGAATCTTTATATTTTTAAGGATTTGAATAACAATCACTTTTATATATATATTAATCTTTTTCTGAGATTAAATTAGATACAACTTATATATAATAACTATCAAATTACTAAAGGAAATAGTAACTAATATGATGATAAGAAAATGAAACATTGATGAATACCTTTTTTTTCTCCTACTTATCAAATTTTTTTCATTCAAAACTATAAATAATCTTGAAAATTTTAAACATACGGAGACATAGAAAACGGTTTAAGTTATTCATCGACAAATACTTCTATTGGTCAATATTTTTAAACCCGACTAGGCCAAGGGGCTGGTCCTTGGATCGAGCAGTCCGACTGGTTGGACTGGTCAGTCCAACCGCTGATCTCAGCATATCCAATGGGTTTGAAGCCAGACAAACACAACCCTAAGAAATTTTCATGAGTCCCTATAGGTTTTAAATCCTGCAAACACATATCTACATCTGGCCAGGAAAGTGGAAACCCTGGCCGTCGCAACTTCAATCCACCCCAAATTAGCCCGCAGCCTTTTTTTCCCAACTCTCTTGACATTGCCTAAACACTTTCCCTCATCCATTTTCGCCGATTTCTAGTCAATCAACATTGCTTGCACAACCCACCTTTCGATCATCCGACTATTATCGCATGCGATCGCCGACAGCAACACTACCTTCAGCTTTCCTCTTCACCTTGTCCTTTCACAGCTTCAAACGTCATCCTGCATGACCCACATACAATAGTTGTTTGGCCACCGATCCTCTAACCTAACGGTTGAATTGGCGGTTCGGCATTGTTCCATCAATTCAACAGTAGGTCAATCCAAATTAATGGTTGAAACCAGGTTTGGGGTGTCCCTGAACTAGAGAAGGGGCGATTGGCGGTCGAATCCATTTTAAAACACTACTATTGGGTGAATTAATTAATTTTCATAGCCTTGCTTCTCTAATACAATAACACATTTGTTTTGTTTTAGCCATTTAAAAAAAAAAAAAAAAAAAAAAAAAGCAAGCAAATTGAACTAAAATTATGAAATTTGCATTAAAAAATTAATTTAAATAAAGTTGT